AATGGACGCCTCCTACCAGATGGCTAAGTTGGGCAGTAGAAAGAGTCCGGTTCAGTGATGTATAATTAAAAAATAATACAATGTACATGAAATTGGTCCGTGCTGTGTTGAGCTCGACAGCAGTGCTCTTTTTAAAGAATCTCATGGAGAGGACTTCTTAGTCAGCTCTACTGTGTTCTGTTGTTCCTTTGCCACAATGGGCACCACCTTTGGCAGAGAGATCAAAAGCTTACCCTTTCTTTTCTTTAAGCCTCTCATTGTCTGCTCATAGAGTGAAAGAATAAAGCAAATATAACAACAGAAAACGTTGGGTTGTCCATTCCGTCTGTTACCATCAGCAACACCTCCTACAGCAGTGGTTCTCAACCTGTGGGTCGGGACCCCATTTGGGGTCGATCGACCATTTCACGGGGGTCGCCAAGCAAGGCTGTCTGCCATTTTTTTTGTCCGCCATTTTTTTCCCCTTTTCCGGCGGGTGCCTTACCTCCCTTGGGCTGGGCCAGCTGGTGGTCGGCCTGCTCCGTCTCTGCCGCTTGCCAGCTATGCCTCGGCCGGCGCAGGAGGCGGAACCACGCATGTGCGGCGCTCCCGGGCAGGGAAAGTCCTCGACTTACAACCGGTTGGGTAGTCCTCGACTTACGACCAGTTTAGTCCTTGACTTACGACTGGTTTAGTCCTCGACTTACGACCGGTTGGGGTCGCGGCATTAAAAAGGTTGAGAACCACTGTCCTACAGGGTCCAGAGAAATAATGTGTAGCGCTGAAGGTAATAAAAGCCACTAATGACCATAAATGGGAGACCTTATGTGTGATTTGGAGGCTCCTTGACTGTTCAGTAGCAAGTACCTAAATGGGGGCAGTCCTCGACTTACGACCACAATTGAGCCAAAATTTCTGCTGTGAGACATTTGTTAAGTGTGTTTTACCTCATTTTACAACCTTTTCCAGTTGTTAAATGAATCAGTGCAGTCGCTTGCAACGTGGTTGGTAAATGAATCTGGCTTCCCATTGACTTTGCTTGTCCGAAGGTCGCAAAAGGTGATTGCGTGACTCCAGACACCGCAACCGTCATAAATATGAGTCAGTTGTCAAGTGTCCAAATTTTGATCATGTGACCACGGGGATGCTGCAAGGGTGACAAGTGTGGTAAAACCATAAGTCGCTTTTTTTGATGCCGTTGTAACTTTGAACGGTCGTTAAATAAACTGTTGTAAGCCGAGGACTACCTGTACAACTGCTCTCAAAAGGGCCACCTGCATATAAATAGCAGAATTTCTTGCTGTACCTGGGTATAAATGCAAATCAGGAAGCCAGAAACACAATGGGGGGGCAGGAAAATGAGGAAAAGATGCATAAAACTAAAGGGACATATCTTTCCTTTAATGCTTTCCAAATGGGCTGCTGTACGTGACAACACACATTCTGCAAGAGTGGAAGGATTATTCTTGAGCACGTCTTGAAATAAACAGCTGTGAACAATGCAGTTGTTTTCAAATGTATGCACAGAAATTTGGACAAAATGCCAGCTTGTAGCAATAGCCTTCCTTTCTGAGTACAGGTAGTCCCCCAGTTATAACCATAATTGACCCTGCAATTACAGGTAGTTCTCAACTTACAATAGTTCATTTAATGGCCATTCCAAGTTACAACAGCACTGAAAAAAATGACTTATGACTTGTTTTTCACATTTGTGACCACTGCAGCATCCCCAGGGTCACGTGACCAAAATTCAGACACTTGGCAACTGACTCCTATTTATGATGGTAGCAATATCCTGGGGTCATGTGACCCCCTTTGGCAACCTTCTGACAAGCAAAGTCAATGGGGAAGCCAGAGTCACTCAACCACTTAACAACTGTGGCAAGGTCATAAAATTGGGCAAATTCACTTTGCAACAAAAATTAGTAAATGTTTCACTTAGCAACAAGAATTTTGGACTCAATTGTGGTTGTAAGTCGAGATTCTAAAGCGGGTCATGTTACTAGACCAGTGATAGCGAACCTTTTAGAGACCGAGTGCCCAAACTGCAACCCAAAACCCACTTATTTATCGCCGGGTGCCAGGTGGGCGTGGCCCACTGGATGGGCGTGGCTGTGGTCATGGCAGAGTAGTTGGGTGTGGCCAAGGTGGGCGTGGTCACCTCGATGTTGCTAGTGGGGAGGATGCCTGTGGGGGCCGGGCAGGGTTGGGGGAGATCCAGGGGGTCTCTGGCAGGTGAGGCGGTGGGCAGGAGGCTTGTCCTGTGGGGTGAAGTGAGGCAAGGTGAGATAGGGTGGGGATGCCAGTTGCAGGGCAAGGTGAGGTAGGGGCCGGGGCGGCTGCTGCCTGACATCATCGGCCCCCGCACACAGAGGCCAGTGAGCGCATGAGGGCCCCTCAAGTGGCGCACTCTGGGGCTCCGCAGTCTGCCGCCAGCATTTCAGAGAAGCCGCCTCTGAGCTGGACGGCCGGCCGACAGCTGAGGAGGCAATGCAGTGGGTCGTGCCCAGGAAAAGGAGAACATGCAAGGCCAGGAGGGATGGTACCGGGGGCGGGAGGGAAACCAGCCATGCTGGGATGCATCCGACCATGTAGGACCTCGGCGAGTTAGCAGGCGGCTGGTTGAAGAGGGACAGTTGCCATCTCTGGGGCATGGTGCATGTGCCCACAGAGGGCTCTGAGTGCCGCCTCTGGCACGCGTGCCATAGGTTCGCCACCACTGCATAGACCCAATTTTATGACTGTTTGGCAGTGGGTTGTAAAGCAAGTGCTGGGGTTGTTAAGCAAACCCATTATGGGGTGATTTTTATCAGAAACCAGAAGCAAGCACTGGTTTCCTGCAAAAATGTCACAAATTGTGGTCACATGACTGGAAGTGCTGCAAACAGCCATAAATATGGGCCAATTACCAAGTGCCCAAAATGCAGTAATGTTCCTGGGGAAGGGGGCGGACATTGGAACTAGGTCATAAATAACTTTTGAGGGAGGGGTCTGTCATAACTTCAAACAGTCCTTAAGTGGTGTTGTAAATCGAAGATTATCTCTGGAAGCCCCAAGACTGATTCCCTGCTGCAATCCAAGTAGCAGAAACTTGGTTTCCATACCCAATCAATACTTTATTTTTGCTTTTGTTGAATCAACAGTAAAATATTAGTATCTTAGTAATGACAGTTTCCTTTAATATAACTCTCATTAGCCATGTTTTACAGTAAAAGGAATCAATGGTCTAAATCAAGGATGGATAATCTTTGAAAAGCTGTCAGCCACAACTCAGCTTCCTAATTTTCAGAAGGATCACAGAAAGCTGGCTGATAATGCTTGGATGTCCCCAGGAGCATTTTTACTTCACATTTGACCACTGAATTTGGGGATGGTCATAGCAGGTGACTTTCCAGAGGCAGGTTACCACCCCCGTTGCTACTTCTAAAACCATCCAAACCCCCATAAAATGGGCTTTCAAGTCAAACTTTCAAAATGAAGTGTCAGAACCTTGGGGTCCTGGGAAACCTCCAATTGGATGTTGGAGATGCACAGATCCTAGGGGCCAACTCCCCTGATTTAGGAAGTTAACACATTTATTAAAGTCATTGTTCAAAAACTGACTTTCCAAGGAAAGCAAATTCATTGCATAATGTAGCTGTGGCAAGTTCAAGCCATTTATCATTCACAAGAATCAAATAGGAAAAACAACATTTCATAATTTTACTCATGTAGTTTTCTTTTGAGACTGCTGAGAAACACCATTTTGCAATCTATCTGAGTAAACTTAGAAACCTTACATTGCCTAAGCTAGCTCCATCTTAAACTGGCTGTGAATGATTGTTGACAGTAAGATCAGGGGCACATATATGCCTTCTCATTTTTCCTATGAAAATTTAAATGTGACTGTTGCTTAACTTCAAATGATTTTGGTGCCATAATTCCAGAGGAAAAGTTCACTCTACCTTTATTCAAATTGTATAACAATGTTACTGGTTGAACAATTCAGTCAGCCTTCCCTCTGTATTTGGCAATCTCCATTGCTAGCATCAAAACTATTTTAATTCCTGGATCCCATAGAGAAGTTCTCTCCCATCACTCATTTCCCTGATTCTTTCAACTTCTGAGATTCCAGGGCACCAATCTGCAATATTCTGCAAGCAAGAATATGCTCTCCTATTCCCTTATTCACACTAGTCAGTCATACACTGACACTAAATTATAATTGTGATTCAGCTTTAAAAAAAATTCACTTTATTCAACCCTGTGATCCCTTAATTTGGGGTAGAGCTGGGTGACTGGATGAAGTTGAGCGTTCACTGGCTAGATGCCCTTCCTGACGCTGTATTGAACTCTCAACCTTCTGAGTGGGAGGCGAGCGTCTTCACCCCTAGGCCACCACACCACTCTATAACGTGATTCACCCCTAGGCCACCACACCACTATAACGTGATTCAACTATAGCAACAAATCCTGTTCTTTAAGTCTGCATAAACATAGGCAAGTCAGACTTAAGGAGCACTTTCTAATATGAGGCTTTATTTTAAGAATTGGTAGCTATGAGCCCTAATCTTGAACCCAAGATTGCCCTCTGCCATTAAATGAACTGGTTTTTCATTTCCACTTCACCCCAAAAAATCATTTTTAAATAAAATGCATTCAGTATGCTTAATTCTGATATATTGTAAATGCCGATGCAACTTTAAAACCCATCCTCAAAGGAAGGAAAAAATGTTTTAAAAAGGCTTTCTGGAGACCCGATTGTCTCGAAACAGAATGCTAAGAATTGAGGTTGATTAATATATCTGAGCTATATGTTAAAGATGATTGAGTCCACATTTGTAACGAGGGGAGGGATTGTGTGGAAAATGCTCTTGGTTTCATAATTCGGATAGTTTGGGGCAGGAGTGTTGAACTTTGGCAACTTTAAGACATGTGGACCTCAACTCCAGAAATTCCCCATTCAGCCATGATGGCTGCGAAATTCTAGGAATTGAAGTCCACAGATTTTAAAAGTTGCTAAAGTTGGACACTCTTGTTTAGGGCTATTCCACACTTGGGAGCAGCTGCCATGGCGATCAGGGGCACAAATGGCCTGCATTGTTTTCCTAGACTAAGCTTCTTTATCTGTGTGGTTAAGGAGTCTATGCTGGAGCCACTGCTGAAGATATAATTTCTCCAGTTAATTTCTATATATGGAAAGGCTGGTGTGCTATCCTGTCTCTTGGGACTGGCTTGTTAAAAGAATTCTACAGCGGCATCAGTGACAGGATGGAAGTCCTTTGTATCCTAAACACCTGGGTCAGACTGTTTTGGAGTTCTCCACAGCGCAGCTCAATCCTTCATCCTATTCCCACATTCTTTTCTTATAGAAATACTTGCATGGAACATTAGATGCGCAAATGGTCACATTATCACACTGTCTTTTTCTATTAAAAGAAAGAGCAACTGGTTTCAACTTCTTTATTTTTTTTCCTCATGAATGTAACCATATAAAAACCATAAGTTATGAAAGTCACACTATGTCAGCTTTCCAAGGGCAAGGGATCAAAAAACACCATCATCCTCCACAGATCTGAACAGGAAATTTAAGAGGGAAAAGTACAAAACCGTCAGTGAAAAAACACCACCCACAAAATGGAGATGCCTTTTTCACCCAAACCTCCACATGCCCTCTTGATTTAAAAAACCTGTTGGGATGCCCATCCTGCTGACTGGACGCGAAATTGATGTATGTACCCCCAAAAACCAAGCAGCGTTTGCACTGGAGTTGGTGACAAGGAACAGTGTTACACTGAAAAAACGGGCTGGGAGGGAGAAAATTTTTTAGGCAACACAGTTTGGCAGAGAAGACCAACAATGATTTAACAAAAATAAAAATCCATGATGGAAGCCTGCTGTTGGCACTCAAGCCTCAGAACAAACGGACGGACAAACCACGTGCATGTCTTCAATTGTGCTAACAGCCTCAGTTCCTGGTAGTTGGGGAAGGGGAAGGCTTTTGAAAACAAGGGGCAATGGGATTTGGGGTGGGGGGGATCTTGGCTATTTCCCCCTAGCCTCTAATACTGACCCTCTCCTTGCTGGCCCAGAGTGCAGCTACAGGGAACTACACAATGAAATGAATTAGTGATACGTCAACGGAATAGGATGACAGAGAGGATTTGCTCTGGGTGCAAGGTTTGTTGAAGGAGGAGAAAAAAAAACCTGTGGGAGTAAAAGGGCTAACGCATCCGGTAATCCGTCGAACACGACAGCTCACACAATTGCCCCTTGAAGTCCAAGTCAATGGTGAAGTCCAGATCTCGCTGCATACAGAAAAAGAAAACGAGTCAAAACATTTTTCTTTTGGCACAATGTACTCCACCACACATACACACAGGAAGCTCAACCTCATCCCCATTAAGAGACGGAGGATTTACTTGTCATTCCTGTGATGCAAACGTTGTTATGTTCTCTTTTCAGAATGTTACCTTCCCACTGAAGTGGTATCTATTTATCTACTTACATTTGCATGCTTTTGAGCTTCTAGGTTGGCAGGAGTTGGGCTAAGGCTGGGAGCTCACCCTGCTGCATGGAGCTCGGGTCTCAAACCTGGGCTGCCGACTTTCCAGCTGACAAGCCCAGCGTCTTAACCTCTAAGCCACCGTGCCGCCCCCATTGCCACAGTGCATAACCTTAAATACGTTAAATTTTTGGAACCTAGATATTAAACTCAAAGTACACTACAGCTGAACTTTCACAAGTTTGCTATATCTGGTAAGACATTAGAGTCCTTGCATGACAATTCAAGCAAGAAAGCCCCAAATCCCAATTTTATACAAGATATTGCAGGTGAGTTTTTAAACAAAGAAAACTTTTTTTCAGAACCATCTTTTATATATTCAGAAGATTATGCAAATTTCATCAATTATGCCTGAGTCTAAAAATAGTAAAAGTTACAGATTAGCTGGCCTTCTCCCACAATCTAAGTGCCGTCAATGGTGCCGAGATGAGATGGAAGAGAAACTGGATAAACAAACAGGTAACAACATTCTAATACCTTTTTATGGTTTAAACATAAGAGGCCAGTCACACTCATTAAAAAAAATATGTCTTATTTAAACTCCCACCAATCAAGAGCATGTAATTGAGAAACAATGGGGAGATTAAGTTGGGGGAGGGGAGGAGAAAAATGTAAAGAGCATATGAATGCACCCTGATGGGGGGAAATCCATTTCAGATCAGCTTTTGGCCAGGATTAGGGTAGGAAGCAACCAATTTCCCCAAACTGGAACCTCCTAAACCACTTCAATCACAGCACTGCTGGTAAAAGAGGCAAAGCCCAGATTAAGACCTGCTATCTCCTCCACATATGTATGCTATTCATCAGGAACCTTACTTTAATTCATGTCTACTCAGGCATATTTATAAGCTGCTGAAGAAAATTGCAGGGACTTGCCCAGGCACTCTCCAAGACTGAAAAAGGAAGGGGAAAAAAGTACTTCCACAGGTGTGTGTGTGAGAGAGGGGGGGAGAGAGAGGGAGGAAGGGGAAAAAAGTACTTCCACAGGTGTGTGTGTGAGAGGGAGGGAGGGAGGGGGAGAGAGGGAGAGACAGAGAGAGAAGAGAGAGAGAGAGACAGAGAGAGAGAGAGTGAATCTACTACTATCCCTACTACCAAAATAATGTTTAGGGACATGGAAAATTTCCTGAGTCAAAATATATTCTCCAAAAAGTAACAAACAGTATGAGGACAAAAACTAAACTCAAATTTATTTCATTAAAATCAAAGGATCACTGGTCCCCATCACATTAAAATTATATTTGGGTAATATTTGAAGTTGCACACGCAACTTTCAAAAGCTTCAGGTTATGAGCATTTATCCAAAACGACTACTATGTCAAAAGTGTATCACATAATAGCATTTTTAGGCAAATGTTCGATTCCAGAACAGAATGTTTCCCTACTAGTTTGTCCACTACAGGCAAGGTTATATTTACCTAGACCAGAAGAACAGAACATTTCATGCTTCCCTACTTAATAGGAGGAGTAAGTGCATCTTAATTAGAATTCCAGCCAACCATGGCCTTCTCCAGACAACCATTTCATCTCTCTCCATCATGCAAGTCCAACACTCCATGGCCATCACTGTGTTTGATCCTCAATGGACTGTTTCTGGTTAAGAACTTTTTGCTTAATATGCTTATTATGGCCTTTGTATTTTTGCAAATCTAAGAAACAAAGAAGCTTCTGTAGATTTGATTTCTATTTCCCAAGCAGGTCTGCCATTGGAGGAAATGATGTCAACTTTCCAAAAAAAGCACTGCAGGAAAAGAACCACCCTCCTGACTCACATTGTTCTTGGCGTTAGGCTTCATGCCAATGGTGCCAAATATCTCCTCTCCTGTCTTCACTGTTAGATAGTCCTCCATGTAAAAGACTGTCTGTTTCCAGTGGGTGTAGGGAGATTCAGGACCTGAAGGTAATAAAAAAATGAAGCTGAACAGAGAAAGCAGCCATGAGGGAAAAATATAAGTCAAGCCATTTGCTTCATTTAGTTGACTTTAGATATTTTCCTCCAGATAAACTGAAGTTCTTTGAATCCCCCAATAATTCTATTTTTCAATCTCTCAATCAGTAAAATCTACAAGAATGCTACAGTGGGAGGATACTCATGCTCCTGAAAAAACAGACTAGATATAGTTTAGTTCAGTTTTTACTGTAACATAACACTGCTAGAAAGGCTAGATTTGTGTTTCTCAACCTTAGCCACTTTGAGATGTGTGGACTTCAACTCCCAGAATTCCCAACCGGTATGGCTGGTTGGGGAATTCTAGGGGTTGAATGTCCACTCAATTTAAAATCGCTAAGGTTGAGAAACACAAATCTAGCCTTTCCAGCGGCGCTGTGTTACTGTAAGATATTAACCAGTCATATTTTAATACTGAAAATTCCATTGATTTAGTTTTATCCTTTACCAGAATATTAACATTTCAGCACCCCAGCTCCCTGACACTGGATCAAAGTCCCTTATTGCTGAATTTCCACACTGAGGTAACAAATGCCCTTACTGGTAGAGAATCCAGTTCGCTTGTGGCATCGGGTAAACTCTATGTTGAAATAGGCGACCAAGGCATGGATGTAGTCGTTGCGCTTCACTTGCAGACAGAAAGGGGATGTGAAGGTGAGGTCCTCCACCTTCACTGTGTAGATGTCTACTTCCTGCCACAAGACAGATTAAAAAAAGTTAACATACCTTCATTATCCTCACAAAACAACATCTATCATTCTTTCTGATAGGAAGCTCCTGCAGATTGCAAAAGTAGCAATCCTTTAGAGCCAAAAGAGTAACTTCTGAAAGCCAAATATTTGGAGGCATCCTGAGATGAACTAGCATTTGAAACAAAAAGTGAGCAATCTGTAGAGTTTTTAAGGGGAAGATGCACCTGTGCAACTATGTTCACAGGTAGTCTGCTCTGCTCTGGGCCATATGGGGACCACACCCAATCTGATTGTTTCCCCTTTTTTTCTCTGGGGAATACTCCCTTACTGCTCTTCAATACAACAATCTACAGTAGCGTTTGTTCTTAGTCCCCCCATTTGCCTATTTCCATCATCTTCTCCCAGTTGTTCTCTTTTGCCTACAAAGTCCCCCAAAGGGTCATTTGCATGCATAATCCAGATCAGCAAGAGTCACAGACAGACAAAGTATAGAGAGACCGTGTCAAAAAACAGGAGAAGCAAAAAAGGCAATGTTCCTAATGCAGTGACAGGCACCTACAACCTTTATCCACATGACAACCAAATGCCCAGTAAGATTAAGAAAGATTTCAAATGCTGGATAGTAGATCCTCTGGGCGGCACTAATTTCCTCTAAGTTCTGCAAAGTTCCTAGCGTGCCACTCTAAGCGGCCTTCTTTGGGGATAGCTTAATGTTCCCCTTAATCGGGATCACTGCGATCGATATTGTTCAACCTTTTATTCACTGGTCTGAAGAGCCACTGCAACAGAGAAAGGTGATCAATGCTAGAAGCAAAGTATGACCAGTGAGCACCTAATGCCATTTTAGACAGGGTGTTCATAGCAATGGTGATTAAGAAAGTCAAGGGCAGAAAAAGAAATTACCCCAGCCCACCATACCTTGATGAGACAGGCGTTAGTGACCAACTGCTTTGGGTCAACAACGTCCACCAAAGGCTCTTTGATTGCCACGTCTTTGATGCACGACATGTCAAATCCATATACGTTCTCCCACCCTGCAGTAAGAAATACAGAGTTTAGAAGGGATTCAGGTCCTGGAAAGCCTTTGCAATCACACCCACCCACTAAAAAAGGGTACAATAAAAAGAAGCAGAGAAAATGATGTTCCCTTAAAAGAGTCACCAGGAAATATATTTTCCCCCGTATGTGCTCAAAAGGCCTGGCATCCTTTTTGGGAAAGAACTTGGTACTTACAGTGGATCTTGTAATCTTTGTACTGCCGGTCTTCAATAGCAGTGATGTACAGAGTGGCACGGTCTGGAAAAATAAGTCCATCTGGGGCCTGGTGCAAAATGGATGGTAAACAAAAAATTAGCCACAAAACAATACAATCCTTTCCTTCGTGGAGAATCTAGTTTCTTGATTAGGGGAGTGGGCAGGGGAGGGACACACAATATACATGTCAGAATTCATGTTTCTTACAATTACTTATCCCCCAACTTTCAGAATAACAATACAGTACAGTAATACCCAAATTGCTTACAAGCAGTATAATTCATTCTAAATACAAATAGGAGGAGACTTCTAGGATCCTTCCCATAGTATCATGGGTACTAATGACGCTGTAAGGAGGAGGGGTAACCTAGAGAAGTTAACACGACTGTTAATTATGAAAAGTGAACATGAGTAATCAGGTTTCAAATAACTGCATATTTATTCTGCACAAATTACAAAAAAACCATTTATAATTACTCATGCCTGTAGTTTGAAACCCTATTCACAATAACAGCTGTTAAGTGCAAAACAGGTAACATTAATTCTCAGAGCTCATCATCCTGAGAGGTCCTTGAGCTGGGGTGTTACTTAAAATTAATCCTCGTGTCCTTTCCTATTGATGCTATAATTAGATATTCAGCAACATTCGGAGGGCTACAGATGCTGCAGTGTGTCCTAGTGCAGGGGTAGGCAACCTTGGCTCTTTTATGACTCGTCCTAGTGTAATAATGGTATTAGCATCCATAGAAAAGCAGCTTGCCCTGAAAGATACTCCTGAATAAGCTAAATGCCAAAGGGGCTACCATCATAGCTTAAGTGACTGCTGTAAAACGGCAGTGGCTTAAATACTCAATTGGATACTTTTGCTCAATGAAGAGGAATGTTCCATTGGCCTTATTTGAAGACAGCCTTTACTTCACATCAAATCAAATTCTGTACAGGTCATCCTCAACTTACAACAGTTCAGTTAGTGACCGTTTGAAGTTACAACAGCACTGAAAAAAGTGACTTATCACCATTTTTCACACTTATCACCATTGTAGCATCTCCACAGTCATGATCAAAATTCAGAAGCTTGTAAACTGACTCATATTTATGACTGTTGCAGTGTCCCAGGGTCTTGTGATCACCTTCTGTGACCTTCTAGCAATGGGGAAGACAGATCCACTTAATAACGGTGTTACTAATTTAACAACTGCAGTGATTCGCTTAACAACCGTGGCAAGAAAAGTTGTAAAATGGGGCAAAACTCACTTAACAAATTTTCACTCAGCAACAAGACATTTGGGGCTCAGTTGTGGTTGTAAGTAGAGGATCACCTGTATTGCAGAGCAACACCCCAGACCAAATAAAACCTATTAAATAAAAATTACACAGCTACAATGTAGAGCATCCAGACTAAATTAAAGCATACCAGGTAAAAGTACTTTCACTACTTTGCTGTCGGTGTGGGAAAAAAAGCTTTTGCACAACTTTTACTTGTGCTTCCCTATTATTTTATTAAGAATGGAATTCTAATTCTGTTTTATGTTTTGTGATTAACAGCCAAGGATGGATTTTTCATGAAGCACAACAGTACTTGGGAGACCCATAAGGCATAGAGCACTTCTGAAAACTGAATACCGGGAAAGGGTGTGGTTTAGAACAAGGACAGATTTTTTTTTCTGTTAAATACTACCTACAGCCTCTCAGGAACATAAGCCAGCTTGGACAAAAAGTGTGTTTTTATTATTACCTTTCCCCATTTCTACCCAAGAAACTGCAGGGGAACTTTTGCCAGAGGTACAAATAATCATTTCTAAAGAGGTTTTGAAAATTAATCAAGAGCTGAACAATTCCCCTGCTATTATAAATGATACCCTTCTGTCTTACTGTGTTTTTAAAGGAATTAGTACTGTACTGTTCTGAAAGATTAGATGATTTAGATACTGGGATGAGTCTAATGAATCTGACTGTAATCCTGAGACTTTACAGGGACAAGGTCACTCCGAAATGTTCTTTTGGCCAAGAGAGTAATAGCTATTATTAGTGGTGTGCAAATTTCTGAAATTGAAATATCCTGTTGTGACCTTGAAATAGCTGGTCCGAGATCAAAACAACTATTCCATGTACAAAATGGTCTTCTCCGATTATTCTGGAAGTTTTCTGAGCTAAAAATTCTTCACTTCAAACTAGAAGTGCTTTCTGAACTATAGTTTAGATTACAAAACAGTTGTTTTGCATTCAAAATGGGGTGCTTCAAATTAAAATAAGTTTAAAATCAAAACGTCTGAACACATCACCATTCGATCACTACATCTTGTCCTTTTTGTCAAATGGCATTTTCCACAATCCAGATTTGAAAATAAGATAAGCTAGGGCCATCTTAGATCTAGGCACCACTGGCAGAAATCAAGGGTTGAGACTTACCAGCCACTTATCCCGGGCATAGATGACAGTATTGAGCATGGACTCATAGAAGAGACAGTAGCCCATCCACTCACTGATGATGATGTCAACCTTTTCCACAGGCAACTCCACTTCCTCCACTTTGCCCTTGATGATGGACACCACTTGAAGGAGGAAAACCGCATGATTTAAAATTATGCTTCAGCGCAAAAGAGAGAATGCAAATCAGTTTGGCAAAGATGGCTTCTTCATATTATTAGCTCAGCCAAACTCAGCACTCCTAGTTGTAACTGTTAAGCAATCTCACATGTTAAGTAGATGAAATCCCAGGTAAGTTACAGTTATGTCATGGGAGTGGGGGAGACCCTGGGATACCTGGCGCAGGCTGTGGGCAGGTCTCTCCCTACTCGGGAGCTGAAAATCCTCCCTAGTGAAATTCAAGCAGGACTTTAAGCTCCAAACTGAGAGTCACGTGGCCTAAACCGCGCATTCTCCACCTCCTTGAGGGGCCCTGTACTCTGTACCTTACCATGCTACCTCTCTGCTCAGGGGCAGAAAATCCTGTTTGGACTTCAGCTCTCTCTCGTTTCTGAGGGTTGGCTGAAATGTTATTTGCTTAAGGATTTCAGCTCCATGCCAAAAGTCTAAGCAGGCATAGAGCTGAAATTTTCGCAAGCAGCTCTTTTAGCCAGCCCCCAGAAACATGAGAATCCTCTTGGTAAGTGCCAGCATCTTACAACCTTTCCTACTGGTTTCCCCACTGACTTTTTGGGAAAGCCAGCAGAGAAGACTGCAAATCAGGCCCCAAAACAAAGAAAGACAAGTAGTCGTTCTTCCAAGCTGATTTCTTTATTGCAGAGTTCCCCAATGTTTCCGGCTTTATGGACTGGCGGGGGGAAGGGGATGGTTCCGCATGAGCAGCCAGCAAGCATGTGCACAGCTCCATTTGCGCAAGTGGAGTGCACGAGTGCCTGTCGCTCACTTAAATGGAGCATGCATGCATGCTGCCCATGCAAGTAAGGATCACCCTTGCGTGCATGCTCGCTTGCCGTTTCCATGGCCTGGTTGCAAACCCCTCATAGCCCACTAATGCGCTGCAGCCCACAGGTTGGGGACCCCTGCTTTATTGCTTCCACATCTATAGACAGAATTTTGCCAAACTAAGCATTTTACTATCTGCATCTACCATACACTCTGAGAATTATTAGGGAGGCGATGGCTTCATCCTCTTTCTCACACATAAAGTATCTTGACTGAGTTGTCCCTTTGGAGTGCCCCCCTCCCCTGGGAATCCACCTTCTAACTACATTCCATTACATTCCACCTCACATGATCATGAGGTGCTTGTCAACCAGTTATAAGCATGAACAGGTTGCCAAGCATTCAGACTGCGACCATATGACTACAGTGTTGGGGTTGGTTTTTTTATATATATATTTTGCAACAGTCAAAAGTGCTTTACATGAGCCCATTGTTAATTTGAACCATTGTTAAGTATGGTCCTAAGTTGAGAACTACCCCTAAACATCTTCTGTACAACACTGGCTTTTTGGATACACAGATAAGTGACTCAGAAATTGAGGACATTTTTAAAAATGAATTTACTTACCATGGTCAAGTTTATTGGCTTTGACGATTTTGACAGCATAATCAGAGATACTGGAGCATTCAATCTATTAGTTGAGGGCATATCCAAAGTGGGGAACAGGGTGGGGGAATAAAGAGAGATGTTTCGTAAGCTAGTGCATTATATTTTTTATTCCTAAATTAGTAAGAAACATCCCTGGAAATACATGTGATGAAATGGCACTAAAGAATGCCAAGTGTTAATATAAAATCAAATGATGTCTCTCTCTTGCCTGTCATCCTAAATCTTCATAAAACAACTAAGGCAGATTTGTATAACTTTAACAGCACTAATTTTAATACAGAACTTTTAATCTCTGTTTATCAGTCCACTTAGGATTCCATCAAATCCTTTCATCCGTTTTGCATCCAACAGACTCCATCACAAAACAGAGACCAATAGCATATGAGCATCATACTTACCCCAATGACCCGCTTGGCACCAGCCTTGGCTGCAAACATGCAAAGTATTCCCGTGCCACTGCCAACATCCAGGACCACTTTGTCCTTGAAGAGGTGCCGATTGTGAAACATGGAATTTCTGTAGGTCAGCGTGCGGACCTCATCTTTCAGCATTTCCTAAGATGCAAAGAAAAGGCACATCAGGAAATCCCCCCAAAATCTATTTACACCCCTCCAAAATGGACAAGATTGGATCTCTCTGAAAAACCTAAGGAGAGATGGCCAGCAAACAAATTTAATAAATTAATAAATAACCACATCCCCACCAATTCTCTCACCTCATGGATCCCAAAGTGAGCGTAGGAATCAAAGTAATAATCCTTGGAAGTCATCTCTTCTGCTGTTGGTTTACTGCTGCTTTCCGGCTGGGTGCACGAGACCTGGTGAAAATACAGAAAGGCCCAAGTCATCCCAGGACCCCCTAATATAACTTATAATTTCCCCACTTAATTCCATATTAACATTTAAATTTGTACTGCTCAACTAATAATTTAATATCCATCAATATGGTCTATATGATGCCTGATTAAATGTATTTTAAAAACAATGTGCTTTCTTAACAATGTGTGTGCAAGAGGCAAAAAACAACAAACATCTTTTCTTAGATGTCAATGTACATATACTTTATACAAACAAGTATGCTGCTTCTTTTAGAATTACAGTTTTTACTCATCGCAAATCCATGGAACTATTAATTAGATGATGGCCATAAAGAAAAAAGGAGTATTAGTGCCTTAGCTTGCAGAAATTCACACTCACATTACCCCCTCACAAAATATTTGCAGTTTCTGAAGTAACCTTTTATTCAATTTAATGGTTTGGGTTTTTTTATTTCACCAAGGGAAAACCAGAGTTCCAATGTCCTTTAGAAAATCTGTTGCTGATATTCTTCTTCTGAACATATCACAGTGCATCTATTTTAACGAGGTTGAACAGTCTACAGATATTGCAACAATTCCTTCTTCTCAAGAAACCAAATGTTTGGTTTACAAAGTCACACTTATATCCTACAGAGGGGTAGGATTTTGCTTGGTGAAGATAATACCCTAGGGAGATATAGGTCAGGGTGGGTTCTTGGGTGATTCACAGGCTGACAATGCAAAGGGTTAAGTTGGACTCCTGTCAGAAAGGTGATGGATGACCCTGCCATTATAATGAGAATTGTTGCAGGCCATTTGGAAGGTAAGGAAAAACCACATGCATCTCTTCTATGCTTCAGGTGGTCTCAAGATGCTATTCTATACTTACTGATTTTAGGGAAGGTTCTTTGTGTATGCACTAACTCTCATGTTTAATTTGGTTCACCCATGTTCTATCAAGTAGCAAAGTCTGTTCTGACTAGTGGTAAGCTCTTTAGGCAGAAGCCTGAACCCAAGACCAGTTATCCAGACATTTTAATCAAACACATAATGGAAATTCTTGGACATTTATTTTTGCAGTTTTGCAAGAGGTGGTTGGTGGAATAAACAAGTAAAATGAGGGGTTAATTCTTAAAATTCTAAACAAATTGGACTGATTTCCAATTTAAGGGAATGCCTTTAACCTCTGGTAAACCAAGTTGAAGTTGCTTAGTACAATTATCTATTTTATCTTCCTCTAATTAAGATTTCTTAGTCAGAACAAAGAAAGCAGGAAAAAATATAGCTCAAGCCTATGTAAGACAGACCATATCACTGAATAGGACACAATTTCACAAGTTGCATTTTCAAGCATGTGAATCTTAAAACAGGTTGTAGATTTGAGGTGGAATTTGAGCCTCTATAAAAACAAACTTCTAAGGGGGGAAACTGAATCATAAACTTGGATTAATATCTTGTACTTATTACTTAAGACTTTAGTGCTAGACAATTGCAACATACTTTAACTGCTCCCAGTGTTGCGTCACTGGAAGCTATAGCTGGTACAGAGAGCAGATGGCTGAATTCAAGAAAATAAGTTTTCATGTAGACACCACTCTAGCAAAGGGTATCATATTCAAAATGGGAGGTGTGATTGGATGATCAAAGTCCTGCCTCTTTTAATACGCATTGCAAGCATCTCTGTCTCTCTCATACATACAGGTAAAAAAGAGGAGGATCTTTAATTGTCCTCATAATGTTCATGATTTTTATGCTGTCAATGCTCCCCCCCCCCCCTCTACAGAGTGTCCCTGTGCATCCATATTCTTCTATCAATGCAGATCCTGTCATTTTGCTGGCAAACCACTAAAAGCCATCTACAAAGTCACACTGAACTCTTAACTGGGATTTCCTGGATTAGAACTGTCCTTACTCCAGTCTTTTCCAACTTGGTGCCTTTCAGATAGATCTATATCTAGTCCTCAACTTACAGCTATAACACAAAGGCTGCCTTTCTTGGTGGCAGTCGTTAAGGAAACCCATTGTTCACTATTTTTGCCAAACACTGGAAGTAAATATAAGTTCTTGGCAAAAATGTGAATATGGGATATTGCTGAGTGCCCAAAATGCAATCATATTAAGGAGGGGAGGGGCATTGGAACTTCAGAACTGGGTCATAAGTACCTTTTAGGAGGGGTCCATCATGATTTCAAACAGTTGCTAAACAACTGATCGTAAGTCAAGGACTACCTATATTTACAACTCCTAATGATTCTACCCACATGTCCAATAGGGAAGTTGCAATCCAACCAATTTTAAGGATGTATAACTGGGGAAAACTATTCTATATCAATCAGTCAGAAGATCCCATCTTAAACTAGATCCAGCCATCTTCAAATAGCTGTGGGTCTTAAATTATTCCTGCTGAGATAGTACTTTTTTCATGATCAGAACCCTAAATTTAAAAAGGTGAATCCATTTTCTCTGCATCTAGAAAGGTGTCCAAAATCCAGAAATCTCAAACAAAACAAAAAACAGATGGCCTACAAACAGTTCATATCATCTTTTCTATGTTACCTGTTACCTGTCCTGCCACAATATTGCCCAATGAGGTTGTCCCATTGTGTATAAACTTTTCAAAATATAGAGTCACTGCCTGGCAAAGCGATATAACAAGCCCAACTGATTTAAACCATCTTATAACTAATCCTATACATGTTACTAGACTGCTGGGAGCTCCTAAGCTAAGGTATAGATCAGTGGTGGCGAACCTATGGCACGGGTGCAGAGGCGGCACTCGGAGCCCTCTCTGTGGGCACACGTGCCGTTGTCCCAGCCTTGCCTCTGCCCACGACCCCCTCACCAGCAACCCCCCTGGAGGAGAGTTGCCCCCAAGCGTGGCCCACGCGGAACAGCGCAGCCAAGGACATGGCAGCCAGGCAGCGTAGACAAGACTCTGCCCTCACACCCCAACGCGCACAGTTGATGTTGCGGGGCGCGGGCAGAGGGCTTGGCTGCCATGGTGCTGCTGGGCGATCTGGGGCGGGCCCTGGAGGCAGTGAGTGGCCTTGCAGGCAGGCAGGGTGGGGCGGAGTGGGGCGTGACAGGGGTGGGGCCAGTTTTTGGGCACTCAGTCTCTAAAAGGTTCGCCATCACTGGTATAGATCATACTAAGTAGCTCCCTCTTTCCACTACTAGCTTGCTCAATCACCTGCATGCTATTCAGGAGCACACATGACTACTAGGATATAGTACCTTATAACTGATGGGGGATTGAGCCAAGTTATATTAAGTCCTTCACTGATTTCAGAAAGCTAAGCAGAATTAGTTGGATGGGATGCATCTAGAAAACTCTGCAGGTACAGCTGGGAAGTAAAAAAGTATTTTTGCAGAAGACAATGGCAAATCCTGTCCATATTATGACCAAAATGTCTACACACATTCTCTGTGTAATCTCCAAGAGTTGAGCTCAACTCAAAGAGGATCTTGGCTCTATATTAAATCTTAACAAGCCAACAAGCCACAATATTCCTTTCATCCAGGTTGATCAAACACATCTGGAGGGCACCAGATTGGAGAATTCTGTTTTCAGGGTTAAATTCTTAAGGAAATCAAATTGTTCCCATATTTGTAAGCCACAGAGATTGCTTTTATCCTGATCTTTTGATGTTTTAAAAATAGATTTGTACTATTTGAGTTTTTTTTAAGTTAAAAGGGCCCCAAATTGGATAAAAAGGGATTGATAAATATTATAATAACAGAAAAATGACAACTTGAAATGCATTTCAACAAGGAAGCAATGGTTCACTAAAACCTATGTCACAACAAATCTGCTCCTCCCCTTAAAGGTTGTCACAAGACCTCAGCTGTATGGATTCTTTACTCCCAAAAGAGGAGAAAACGGGGAGTTAAAAATCAAGTGTCTGTGTATTTGGCTAGTCAGATGCTGCACAGATTGAAGTTTTAACTAAAGTGCACCAGCTCCATTTGATGGAAGAGAAATTTCTGGCTCTGCCATTTCAGTCTTCTTAGTACCACCATATCTAGGGGATCAGCTCTTTGTCCTCCCCCCCCCCCCCAATGCTCTCAGGGCAATTCTGTCTCATATTCCCACAATGCACAGGAAAGTTTGGCAGGCTTTATTATTAATGGCCTACCTCCTGAGCTGCTCTACCCCCTGAATGTCCCCAGGACCGGGGAGCTGCAATAAAAGTTAAGGAAAGAATGGTCACGTGCTCCCAATGCAACCAACACCCTGGCTTAGAACCCTCCAGCTTTGTCCCACAAAGTCTCCCCAATATGTCAATGTCGGGCACTTAGCATTTTGTTTAAACTGACGGATCTGAGAAAGGGGGGGGGACTCCAAGATATAAATTCTTCACCCATACATCAACCAGAAAATAAGTGTGATTTTTTTTAAAACAAAGATGCAATGCAAGGCTAATATAATTTGATGCTCTTTATAATAATTCGTATATCTGAGATAAATGCTAAAACTTGAAAAGTAGGTATTTAGGAATCATGGGACAATAGCTGGGTAGCACAAGTGAATCTGTTCTCTCACCTAACATCCAAAACCTCAACTCCTGTGCTTTCTCCCCTTCCAAAATATCAAGTAATGCCTAAACATTTTCTACCAATACCGTGAGGAAAAAAAAAAGTGTTGTAGAAAAATATTATTTTATTTGCAGCTTTATCAATGGATCAAAAAAGGATAGGTTCCTGTCAGTTGCCACTAAGGACATAAATAAAAGTTTATATGGGCAACAAGGTAAACAATTTGAAATAAAGCACAAAAAATTGGTCATGAACCCAATTCTTTTTTCATCCTGCATTGTTTAGCCACTCAGACTGAACAGGCACTGCATCATAGGATTAACTGAGGGATATGGACTAAAAGATGCGTACAGAAGCAAGAAAGAAGAAACAATATATAAACTAATACTGTGAAGAAGAGGGCAAAGAACCAGAAAGTAGGTATATTCTACATCTAGAATTTATGGGAAATGGTGTGTAGTTAGTCCTAGCAGTTTGAGAAAAGGGCAGTACATCTAAGAAAGAGTACAAAAGCAAGGGGGTAACTATAGATGCAATTTTAGCAAGACAGATGCAAGGGGGACTAATGGATGATGCATCACCAAGCCGGCTACACAACAAGGAAAGATCTGGCCTGAGCTCAACCACATCCAGGGTTGAGCACTAGCCTAGTGTTCATGAACTCAAAGGATATTTACATCTTCTAGCGGAGTCTGCAGGCTCATCCCATTAGCCAGCGTGGTTACAAAATTCTAGGAGAGAGAGAGTAACAAGGGAAAGAATGTCAATTCGGAGCTCAACGGGAACTGATCCGGAGCCTGGATCATTTTAACAACTAGGATTTGGAGAGGGAATAAGAAAAAAAAAAAAAACTAATAAAAGTTGACCAACAAATAAGGAAGCAATTCTGGGATGTCTCTCTATGAGGGATTAATGTGTTTCCTTCTAGGTTTGCCAATAGTATCCAGAAAGAACAATTTCTAGAGCTGGAAACCAGCCCTTAGGATTGTAACAATCCACCCAGAATCACATATGTGAGATGAGCCACTGTACAAATTGAACAAATAACAAGGCTGGCAAATACAAGATCGGAGAGGAAGTCTTCCAAGTCTCTATGGTAAAAAGACTAGCACCCCTCTGAGCTCCCCCAATAATGTATGCACCTTCCATTCAACCATATCACTAAACAGAACTATAGCACACAGAGCAGGGTTGCCTCCAGTCACAAAGAGGTTTTTTATAGGATTATCACAATCCCATGCCAGGAATAGAAAAAAAAGTCATCTGAAATGCCAGCAGAGTTGCTATGACAGACATCAAGGTCTCAGTTATACACCTACCCAAAGACAGCTCTCTCCACCACCTATTCCCCTTCAGTATGTTCAGATACAGCACTTCCAAGAAGAATTGGTAAACACTGTATTGGAAATAGCTACTTAAACATTCAGAAGGTGAAACAGGATGCAAAAGTTGCATGGGTTACTTAAGATATGCATGAGAGACATTCATTAGGTGATAGGGGCTCCTCATGCTACATTCCTGTTTGGGCACCTTGTTCCCCACATCCTTAGTACTCTGTTCTTTTGATTCGCTTTTATAATTATTTCTATAATTCTCTTATAAATTGTCAGCTGACACATATGCAGCAGTTATATAATAAAATGTCAGTGCTAGCCTACTCCTCAGAGGATAAAACTATAGGATTTCTTCTGATAGCCTAGTGCAGTGATGGCAAACCTTTTAGAGACCGAGTGCCCAAACTGCAATCCAAAACCCACTTATGTATGGCCGGGTGCCGGGTGGTCATGGCCCATTGGGTGGGTGTGGCCAATTGGGTGGGCATGGCTCATTGGGTGGGCGTGGCTACAGTGGTAATGGCAGACTGGGTGGGACTAAAAAGTTCAATCAATCAAGTCCAACTTTGCGAGATCTTTTTTTTCCCCACGAGAAGTTGAAATTGATTGATTGATTGAACCTTTTTTTTTTTGCACACGGCGGCGGAGGCCTAAAGCAAAAAGGTTTTATAAAACCCAGTTGAAGGCCTAGGACTGGGGCGACGGTGCGTGTGCCCACAGAGAGGGCTCTGTGTGCCGCCTGTGGCACCCGTGCCATAGGTTCGCCACCACAGGCCTAGTGTGAGTTACCTGTGTTACTACTGACTTAGGCAAACCTGAAAGCCCTGGCATACCATACCAATATACCCCTCAGTGTGCTCCCTAGCTACAACTGCTCTTGCATTTGGTTGAAGGATAGTTAAGGCAACCAGTTATCTACTGAGATGATAATCTTTAACGAATGAAGGCGAATATACATGTCCCAGGATAATGTTGCAGGATCCAACCTAGCCTAGACAGAAGTTCCCTGAAGATGGGTTACAGCGCGAGTCCGAAAGTTTGGGAGACAAAACTTCTGGTCCCGGTGACCGATCCAGATTGGATCCTGCAATCTTTAAATTGAAGGAATTGAAAAAGAAGCTAGTAAGTCACTTATTCGAGTTAATTTGGATTCCTACATCAAGCAAGGTTAACTCAGTAGCCTAAATCAGCTTTCAACTCATGAACTTCCAAAGGACCCACCAGTAATCAATATATGGTGAAATGCCCAGATCAAGAAGCTTGGCCTAAATGGATCATTCCAATTCTATGGGCTCTATTAATCCAAAAACTGAAGGGCAGGTGGGGTTGGGGAACATCTAAAATGGAATGAAGATGATAACAAAAAATACCTTTCCCACAGTTAACTATTGGGCCCTGTCATTTCCATTCTAGGAAGAAAACCAGCAGATGAAAAGGATTCCCAACAATGGTGTTTCTGTGAGGGTGTGAATTTTGCAAATGAGATGGGAGATACTTCAATTTCTTGCTTACCTATACACTACATAATTCTTTCCTTCCAACCTTTTTTCAACCTGTCACCTGCCAATTTAAATAATTCATCCATTCCTCAATCTTTTTCCAAAATTTGCAGCTCCCTGAAGTCTACACATTGTAACCTCTGATATCCAACGCCCCTAAAATTTAGTTCCGCCTTTCACCCAAATCTTACCCCAGCCTCATCCAAGCTTCCTCTGAAGACCCTGGAATCTTACCTTCCTTCAAATGATCTCTTATACAAATCATAGCACGTCAAAGCAGGTCCTCCTATCAATTTGCCCATTTTCCTTGTGCGGCTTAGACTCAGAAATGTCTTCCTGTCCACAGTAAACCCACAGGCTACCACAAGGTGCAAGAATAAGGGAACAATGAGCTAGAAGGCAATAACTCCCCATAAGGCATCAGAGCCTCCTTAGGAGAATGAGCACAATGGGCTTATCAAAAGTAAAGAGCAACCACCCTGAGGGAAGCTACTGCATTAAGGCCCACCGTTTCCTTTCAGACAGTAAGACCAGGCAAAATTAAAAGGGAAAGGGACCACTTCACAAAATCATGGTGGAAACAGGCACCCTCTTATTATTTTTTTACAGGCAAATTATGAGGTTGAAAAATTGGGGGGGAGGGGGAAGAGGAGGAACAGATGGGACTGGGCAAAGGGGGAGGGGATTGGTCTGTGGGTTGATTCTGTATTTCCCCGAGTGGGAAGAATTCGGGAATCCACAATACCCCATATTACGAGAACCCAGCATGGGGTTGCCCAAAGAAGGAAAGGCGAAGGAGCCAAGGTGGCAGCGGGACAGCCGGCGGAAAAGCCGGAGCGTCCGCGAACAAAGAGTTCAACTATCTGCGGCAGCGTCGGGGGGGGGGGTCCTTCCCAGCAGAGGGGAGCACAACTTGGGGAGGGGGGCGGCTGCTGCGCCCTAAGGATCGATGGGCCAGGGGGAAAAAGCTTAACCATCCGGGGAGCAGGAACCCCAGGCGGCCCTGATTAAGGAGGACCCTCG